GGACGCTCATCCCTGTCCACAGCACATCCTATGGCTGGGACCAGCTCCTCCTTGTGCCCCCACGGGCACGGCCGAGCCCTGCACCTCCATAACGGGGGGGCCGCCCCCCCGCAATGCCCAGCTCAGCCCCAGCGCAATCCCTCAAGTGCCGGTAGCCGCTCCGATGTGCCGCGGGGGGGGGCTGCCCTCCCTGGCCCCCAGCCGGTGCAGGAGCCCCCCGACCCCGCCCGGGCAGCAGCGGCGAGGGGCCGGGGGGCTGCCCTTCAGGGCGCCCATCAGCCCGGGCAGCTGCCGGGGCAGGCGGTAGGTGGGCAGGGGCCGCAGTGGCCGGGGGACATCGCGGGGGCTGCAGAGCCGGCTGAAGTACGCCAGGACCCAGCCCCTGCCGCGCCCCGCCGCGCCCAGCTCCCCGTGCAGGCAGGACATGGCCGCCCCGAAGATGTCGTGAGCATCCCCGGGGGGGTCCCCGCCCGCCGCCCCGCCCCGCCACCGGCGGAAGAGCCGGGCGCTGCCGCGGCTCCAGAGGAGCAGCACGGTCCCTCGCTGCCGGCCCACGGTGCCGCGCTGCGCGTACAGCCAGGGCAGGGTCCCCGCCTGCCCCAAGCCGCCCGCTTCCCACAGGTCCAGGCGCACGTCGCAGCCCAGCCCGGCGCGGAGCCGCTCGGCCAGGGCGCACACGAGCCCCAAGTGCTCCTCCGAGTCCGGCGAGTACAGCAGCAGCACGGGGCGAGCGCCCGCGGGACCTGCGGGTGGAGGGGACAGCGGTGACAGCCCTGCCCCGAGCCGCTCCCCATCCCCTGGGGACACACCGGCATCCTCCAAGGGCATCTGACCATCCTGTGCATCCATTCTGCAGCCCAGGGAGGCAGCAGCCCGCGGCACCCCAGCCCTATGGGTGCCATGAGCACTGTTCCCCCGTCCCGCATCCCCCCGGAGTGCCCCTCACCATCATCAGGCCTCCAGGCGCCTCGGCAATTGAGGAGCAGCAAGGTCAACAGCAGCCCCAGCACCAGCGCCAACCCCAGCAGCCCAAAGTGCCTGCGGGAGACTGGGAGAGGGGCAGTGAGGGAATGGGGGTTCCGTGCAACCCCAGTGCCCCCCGTGGCTCCCCGGGACCCTCACTCACCATCGGGACAGAGCAGCTGCTTCCGAGCAAAACGCACATCCGAGCGCCAGACCTGGGGAAGAGGCTGTGTGAGGAGGGGCCGGGTTGGGGTTCGGGTCCCCCCCATTGTGGGGGTGCTGGTACGTGGGTCACCTCACCAGCACGCAGCTGCCCAGGACCTGCATCGGTAGCAGCAGCGCTAGCTCCCCTGGGGCTGAGCCCTCTGGCTGCAAAGCACAAGAGAAGGGTCACTGTGGGTCGGTCCCCACCATGTCCTCCCCCTCTCCAGCCCCACTCCACTCACCTGTGTGACAGTGTAGAGCGGGGGCTCGGGCTCGCACTGCCCGCCCCGGCGCTGGCAGAGGGTTGCACTGAAAGCCGCAGGGATGCTGGAGATGAGGTGCAGGCGCAGCTGCAGCCCTCGGACGCTCACTGAGACGTTCCAGGCGGTCTCTGCGGTCACCAGGGAGAGAAGCAGGGGGCTTGTGGGATGCCCAAGGGGATGAAGGGTGCGAGGGACCCCAGGGCAGGGGTTCCCCTGATCTATAGGGCTCACCTGGCCGGTGGGGACACTCCACGTGGCTGCTGTTCCCATAGGAGAACTGGGGAGAACAGGGATCAGTAAAGGGCTGGGGGAGCCCCAGAGCCCCCCAGCACTGGTGCCCAACTGCCCATGGGGGCTTACCCGAAAGCAGAGCTGGGGGTGCACATCGACCTTGTCCAGTGTATATGCCTGGAATGGGCAGAGAGAGCATCACCATCCCAAACCTGCATAGCCCATGGGCACTGCAGCAACTACCCGCCATCCTCAGGGGCCCCTGGGGGTCTGGTGGGTGCCCCAGCACCCCAAACCCAGGACCCTTTACCTGGTCCTCCTCGCTGGCAGTGGAGTTGGGGATGTCGTGGCACGGTGCAGCCTCAGCTGCCACCTCCCTCCAGCACAGGGTGGCGCGGGGGTGCAGGGGGCAGCTGGCGCTCAGCACCATTGCCATCTGGTCCTTGCTGCTGGTGCTATAGTCGTGGAAGTGCACCGAGGACCACAGCTCGGGGCCATCTGCGAGGCATCGGGTCAGTGGGGCCGGAGGGGGGGACACCCCCAGGACCGGGGTCCCTCCTCCCCATGGGCACTCACAGGCAGCCAGCTGGTTGCGGAAGGGGCAGCGCTTGCTGCGTGTGCTGTCGTGGTGCGGGTAAGAGGCCTGGGGGAGCAGAGTGGGGGGGGGGTCAGGGCAGGATGAGCCCTCGCTGCATGGGCCCAGAGGCCACGGGGATGGGCAACGCACCTCGATGCATAAGCAGGGCACCAGGAACTCGTATGGCAGTGAGATGCGGTGGCCCCCCAGCACCAGCACCTATGGTATGGAGGCAGAATTGGTGGAGGAGAACACGGGTCCCAGCCTGGTGTGGTGGGGAACGGAGCCGTTACCTGCTGGTGGAAGGGCCGGGGCAGCTCCTCACACTCCAGGGCGAGCTGATGGCACAGCCGCACCATGAGGGCCGGGCCGTCAGGCACCCACACTTCGATGGTCCTTTCCTCGGGCACCCACGTATGGGTGAAGATGGGTCCTGTGGAGCAGGCAGGGGTCAGCTGGTGCCCGTGTGTGTGTCCCCCATCCCTCGAGACCCCCCCGGTCCCCTCCAGCCTCACCGGGCGGTTCAGCAGTGACCAAGTGGCTGCGGCTGAGGGTCCAGCCTCGGTCGGGGATAGTGTGGAGGGAGACAAGGACCTGCCGGCCGCTCTCCACCGGGAAGCAGTCGAACTGTACCTGCCACTGCGGGAACCGGGGTGTGTGTGTGTGGGGGGGGGAGTTCAGCGGGACACCGACGGCTCCGCCCCATCCAACCCACCCCAGACTCACCGGTGAGCTGCCCGCTGCCCGGTGCCGCCGCCACACCTGCAGCCAGCTTGCCCGGTTGGAGCCAAGCTCCAGGAAGTTGAGCTGGAGCCCGCGGACATCACCGAGCTCTGCGGGAAACCAGCGTGTGGAGCAGGCACGGGTGGGAGATGAGCCCCCAGCTCCCCTTTACCCCCACATCCCCCCCACCGACGGGGGGTGCGCGGTGCCCCTGCCCGTACCTGCGGCGGGGAGGGCCAGGCGCACCCGCAGGCAGGGCTGGCAGCGCTGCGAGTGCAGGCACAGGCGGGCCCTGCCCAGCTCCAGGGCGGGTGCGTTCAGCGGCGGCCCGGACCGGGACGGGCGGCGGCACCGGGGGCGGCTCAATGTGCTGTCGGCTGCGGGGAGGGGAGAGCAGAGAGCGGCGGCCGTGTGCCGGGGTCCGCGTACAGCCGGGACCGAGAGTCCATGGCGGGCCGGGTGTTCGGCACACCGGGAATCACCGGGAAGGGGGAGCCCCGAGAAGAGAGAACCGCGGGGAAGGAGAACCCCCGGCTTCAGGACCCGGTATCCGCGAGCGGATGGAGCCCCGCGTTCGCAGCCCTATCCTGGTCCCAGACCCGGTCCCGAAGCTACTCACCGGTGGCCCAGCACTTCTGCAAGGAAAGACACCGGAGTGAGCGCGGCGCCGCCAGCCCCCCCGCCTCCCTCCCCATCGCCTCCCCGTTCCCCCGTCGCTCACGAAGTTGGAGGAGACCCGGAGGCGGGTGACGACGGCTCCGGTCCCGGTGAGCGGCAGCAGCAGCAGCAGCAGGGCAGCGGCAGCGAGCAGCACCGAGCGCCCCATGGCCGCTCCGCTCCGACCCGCTCCGCGCCCCGCCCCGGGCCGGCCCCGCCGCATTCCTCCGCCGGCACGTGTGGCCCCGCCGCTCCGCCCGCCCCGTCACCGGGCGGCACAGACACGCGTGGGAGCGCGGAGCTGCTTTATTTCCATACAGAAACACGCGGAGGATCGGCACCCCCTCCCCAGCACCGGGTCTCCCCCCCCCGTTACATGCGATCCCGGAGCCGTGGCATGGCTCAGACACGTTGGTCCCGGGATGGTGGGGGGGGGGAGCCCGCACCGGAGCCGCGCCAGCGCTGCCCCATAGGGCCCGGTTGCAGAGCTCCATCCCTCACAGACCCCATCGCTCCTCATTTCTTCTTCTTCTCCTGCGTGCTGGTGAACCAGGAGTCCAGCAGCTTCTTGCTGTAGTAGAGCTGCCAGCCGTGCACCTGAGCGGCCACCACCACCACCAGGTACATGACGGACACAGCCGAGAAGCCAAAGATGAAGCGGTAAGCTTTGCCGTGCCGGTAGAGCTGCTGCGCCATGGGGAACATCTCCATAGCCCCATAGATGAGCGGGGCCACGGAGAAGAGCCCGGTGCTGATCATGGAGAGCACCAGGTAGCTGATGTTGTTGCGGGGGAAGGAGAGGAGGCCCAGCAGCGAAGGCAGGATGCTGAGCAGGTACGGGTACTCCCACTGGTAGGGCATGGCCACTTGGTCGTGGGGCAGCAGCTTGAGGTGCCCCACGCACATCTGGGCCAGCAGCAGCAGCCAGATGCACACGTGTGTGTAGATCAGCTTCTTGATCTCGGACTTCAGGGTCACGCTGCGGGGGGGAGCACAGGGCATCACCGGGTGATGGAGGGGGGACACGGATCCCCGCACGCACACCCGCATCCGCCCGGGCACCCACCTCATCTGGTAATGCGAGGCCACACGCTCCCGGTGCTGGAAGTCGCTGCCGTCGGTGCCGGCGGCGCGGGGCCCCCCGCGGGAAGCCATGGTGCTGCCCTGGGGAGGCACAGAGTGAGCGGGACGGGACGGGACGGGACCGACCCCCCCCCCGTGACACCGGGTGAGACCCCCCCCCCCCGCCGCACCCCACCTGCCGGCGGGACGCTCTGCCCGCACTTCCGCCTTTCTATAGCCGCAGCCCCGCCGGCACCGACCGCGGAGGTAGGCCGCTCTGCGCTGCCGGAGGGGCGGCTCTATGGTAGGTGCGAGGAGCGCCCCCGTCCGGCTCCGCCTCCGCGCCGTGACGACATGGCGGCCGGGCTGGCGCGAGCGGGGCGGCGGGCGAGAGCGGCGGGGTCAGACTGGGGGGGGGCCATAAACGGGGGAGGGGGGACGGGACGTAACCGGGGAGGGGGCGTGTGTCCTATAACCGGGGGTTTACAGTAACCGGGAAGGGGGGGGTGTCCCATAACCGGGTGGTGACCAACAACCAGGAGGGGGGGGTGTGGGGGTGTGTGTGTTCCACTCGTGCCCCCCCCACTCACACCCCACAGATGGAGGCGGCCGCTGGGCCCTGAGGAGACGCTGGGGCTACTGGAGGCCTCTGTGGTGCACCGGGAAGGTACCAAAGGGGAACGGGGGTGGGGGGGTGGGGGGGTGGTATGTCGGTCACATCCTGACCCGCATCCCGTCACCAGGAGCCGTGCTGGCGCTGAGCAAACCCCACGGCCTGCCTGTGCTGGGTGAGTGCGGGGCGGGGGGTGCAGGAATTGGGGAGGGATCGGGTTTGGGGGCACAGCGTGTGCTGACCTCCACCCCCCCCGCTCCTTGCCTAGGGCGGCCCGGGGAGCTGAGCCTGGCCGTGCTGCTGCCGGCACTGCGGCGGCGCCTGGGGCTCCCGGCCGAGCTCCACGTGGTGAAGGCTCCGGCCAGGTACGGGTGAAGGGGGCTCAGGAGGGGCCGCTCCCCCTCTATGGGGCTCAGGGCTGTCACATCCCACAGGGAATACTCCGGCCTCACCCTCCTGTCCAGCTGCCATCGAGCCACCGAGGAGCTCCAGCAGTTCTTCACCGGTGCTCGCCAGCGAGGCCAGTACCCAGTCACGTACCGGTGAGTCCCCGGGGTGTCACCATGGCACCGTGGAGGGGTCCTGTCCCCTCCTCACCCCCCCCTTCTCCCCACAGCGCCGTCACCGTCGGGGTCCCGGCAGAGCCAGAGGGCGAGATCCGCACCGGGCTGCGCTGGCAGCAGCAGGGTGACACCGCTGTGGTAAGGGGGTGCTGGGGGGTACGGGCACAGGGAGGGTGACCCGGAACGGGGGGCTGAAGGCTGTGGTGGTGCCGCAGGTGGTGCCGGTGCCGGCGCCGGGACGCGGGAGCCTGGCCAGGAAGGAGGTGAAGAACACCCTGACACGGTACCGGGTGCTGGGGGCCGCGGGGGGCTGCGCCCTGCTCCAGCTCCAGCCCAGGACGGGTGAGTGGTGTCCCAAAACCCCTCACTGTCCCCACCCGCCCACCATGATCCCACTGCCCTTCCCACTGCCTTCCAGCCTTCCCGGAGCAGCTCCAGGTTCACCTGACCCTGCTGCTGTGCCCGGCTCTGGGTGACCACCAGCACTCGTCCCGGGTGGGCAGGGTGCTGGGGGTGCCCTTCCTCCTGCCCCCCGAGCCCGCTGCACCCCGCACACAGGTACATGGCCGCGGTGGGTGCTGGTTGGGGGCTCAGCACAGCCCCCAGGGCCCCACTGAGCTGCTGCTCCCATTGCAGGTGCTGGACGAGGCGCTGCTGCAGAGATTGGGGCTCTCCCCGCAGCAGGTTCGGCACCTCCCAATCCACATCCACCTGCAGGAGCTGGTGCTGCCGCAGGGCCCGATCCGTGCCCCACCACCACTCCCTTTCCTGCGCACGCTGCAACGCCTGGGGCTGCCTGGGCACCTGGAGCGGTAGCACCCATGGGGGGACCCCCAACCCAGTGCCTTCTGCCGCCCTATTAAATCCCCATCTCTCGCCGCGGTGTCGCAGCACTCGTTTCTTCTCCTGGGGACACATCATCAACATGTGACACCAGTGCCTGACCTGGTTCCCACTGCCGGTGTCACCACTGCCACGGCTCTGTCTCGCAGCGGTGACCGCAAGCAGGAGCAGAGGCGGCTTTTCCTGCCCCGGTTCCTGCCCACAGACCCGGTTACCACTGCACTGTGGGGTTTTGAAACACGGTCAGTGTGTTTCAGTAATGTTTCATCACCCCACAGTTGGTGGGGTGGGCGTCCCTGTGCAGTGACAGGTTCTGGTTGAGGTAAGGGGGATGGGGTTGCTGCCGTGCTGCCCCACTTAGGATGGGCATGATGCTGTCCCCTCCTTCATGGCCTGCAGCAGGTCTTCTGCCCGCCTGCGGGTGCTGCCGCATGACCCCTGCCTGCAGCACAGCTCGGCTGCCCAGGGCATGCAGGCAGGGTCCTTGGTGGGACTTCAGCTGGTGGAGGGGGTGCCTTGGGCAGGGCACTGGCCCCACAAGGGCAGAGTGACTTGAGCCCTCTGGAGCAGGGGTTTGGGCTGTGGTGGTGCCTGGGGGACAGAGCCAGAGGAGAAGGAGCGTAATTGCCCCAGAGGAGCTGGCTGGACCTGTGCTGCTCCAGCCTGTGGGAGCTGAGTAGTTCTGCCCTTTGGCTTGGGCATCACAGGAGGCTTGGTGTCCATAAGTGACTTGGAGACCACAGAAGGTTTGGGTACCAAAGGTGACAGGCACCACAGCACCACGTCCCCAGCATCCCCAGGCTCTCACTTTGGTGGTGAAGGCTCTGATGCCATTGAAGTGGTTCACCACCTGGTGGTCCTGCAGCAGCCAAAAGTTGACATCTTCTCTCTGGCTGGTCCAGATGAAGGTCAGTGTCTGGTCCCTCACCATAGAGGACTGCAGGAGGGACAGAGGGGACTGGGGTGGGCTGTGGAGCCCCCATCCCACCTCACCACCCAGCCCAGGCTGTGCCCTGCGGAGTCCAGCCCTGGTCCTCACCACTAACCATGATGTTGTGGATGCCACCAAGGTCCTCATCATATCAGTGGGCATCCTCCTCCTCTGGAGGCTCCAGGATCTCCACTGAGGGCTGAGCCCAGCAGGATGCCAACCCTGGCTCTGGACCCAGCGCTGACTCCCACTGCTCATTGCCCCTGTCTTCATCCAGCAGCTTCCAGGTGTCCTGCTGCTGCCACAAGAGGGTGCCCACCCTGATGGTGTTGGAGAACTTCTCCACACAGCCCCGTGCCCGAAGCACGTTGTGGATGATGGGGTAGGTGCCCCGCACCATGAAGATCTTCCCCTGGGGAGGGATGCAAGTGTTCAGGCATAAATGCAATAAACACGTGTACCTGGCATGTTGTAAGGGGTGTGTGTAATCAGGCCTCACCTCGACAGCCTCCTCCATGTGCTGACTGCTCCTCAGCAGCTCCATGGTGACCAAGCATGCACCAGGTCAGAGCTTCGTGCCGGAGTCCCGGCTGCTCTGCAACCCCCAGGGATGCCTCATAGGGCCCAAAGGTCACACTCAGCCCCCCAACACCACTAGGAACATCGCTTACTCTGGCAGCCCCCCCCCCCAAGTCTGTGTGTCAACGAGAGGGTGACTCCTTTGCATCCCCAGAGACCAAGTGCATCCCTTCTCCCCTTGGGGACTGAGGTCGGGTCCAACACATGGACCCCCCCAACCCTGCACCAGCCCTGGTCACCGCACTGGCCCCACTACCCCAAAGGGGTACAAACACCAGCCCCCCGTGTCATGTGTGCCACCCCCATCCTCCCAAACCCCTTTCTCGACCCCTTTCACATGGAGATGCCCTCAAGCCCTCAAACTCTTTCGTGCCCCACATCCTGAGCCCTCTCCCCCAACATCCTCGCTCAATCCCAATTATCCCCCCTTTTAAGGCCACCCCCTTGCTCCTCCCACCACAGGTCCTGCCCCCACCGTCGGGACCGCCCCCTCCATTTGCAGTTGCTATGGAGCTCCATAAGGAGCCGGGCATTCCACATCCCCGGGGGGGTCCACGGTGTCTGCCCCCCGCTGCGGCGAGAGGAAAGAGCCCAAGGCAGCGGCTACAGCAAACGAGACCGTTTATAAAACACGACGAGACACGGGAACGGCCGGGGCCGCTCTGCCGCAAGCGGGCGCTGCTCCCGGCCCGGCCCCCCCGGCACGGTGAGGGGCAGGCAGGGCCCGGCCCGGCCCGGCCCGGCCATCCTCGGTGGGGAGCGGGAGCAGGCACAAGCGTTGGGGAGCCACGGGGTCCTGCACCACGGCCTAGAACTGCAAGGCAAGAGGAGAAGAGAGGTGGCTGTGAGCCCCTATGTGAACCAGCACCCCGGGGCTGTGCCCTTGGTGGCTGCTGCCTCCCCCCCCAGCGTGCTCTGGGGATCCCAAACCCAGCACTTCCCACGCAAAGGGGGTATGAGCATCCCCCCACCCTGGGCATCCTCCCACCCTGTCTCCAAGAGGGTCTTGGGCACACTGGCACTGCTGTCCCCATAGGTGGGATTGGGGGGCTCTGGGCATTGGAACCACACTGGCTTGGAGCTCCACACCCCACTCCCAAAATCCCAACACGAGGAATCCACCTCCTCCCTTTCCCAAGCCTCACGTTCTTGAGGAATTCCTCCGCCACGATGCGGGCCCTGGCGTTGACAGACAGCTTCATCTCGCTGATCTCCTTGTCGATCTCCTCCATGAAGTGGATGACAAAGTCCACCAGCTTGTGCTTGTACATCTGCTCCGTGTGGAAGTTCGTGATCAAGAAGCTGATGTCATAGCCCTGGGGAAGAGAGAAGCACCCTGCGGATGAACACCTGGGACACCAACCATGCACCCTCACATCCATCTCTGGAGACACCCCCCCCCCGGTGATGGGAGCTCGGCCCCATCCCAGCCCCTCACCTCCACGGGCTTCCTGCGCAGGATGAAGAAGTTCTCAGCCCTCATCATCATGAAGCGCATGAATTTGTGGCACAAGATCTTCTCGATCTCATCGGCCTGGGGAGAGGGAAGAGAAGGGAAGTGAGAGGGAAGCGAGGAGGAAGAGAAAGGGGACTGAAGCTTCCCCCTGCGGCCAAACCTCACCTGCTTCACCGCGATGCTGACGCGCACGGAGTTAATGGAGCCCTCGATGAGCACCTTCTCCTTCTCGTTCCTGCTGATGATCACCGGCTGCAACAGCAGCTCTTTGCTGCTCCTGCGAGCAGAGGAACGGCAGCGCTGACTCACAGGGAAGCGTTTACAGCTCAGCAACGGGGATGGGGGGGGATCAGAACCGGACGGGGATGGGGAGCCGCGGGGAGGCTCCTTCCTTCTCGCTGATACGGGATGCTTCGAGGCGTCCATCCCCAACCAGCCCCCCCCGGGATCCCGGCCCGCTCCCCGCCGTACCTGACTTCCACCTCGGGCTTGTTGTGCCGCTCCACCACCTGCGAGGAGAAGTTCTCGAGGCACAGCGCGGCCTGCAGCGTGGCGCGCACCGCGTTCAGGTACGGGCGCAGCGTGGCGGTCTGCGGGGACACGGCGGCATCAGCACCGGTACCGGTACCCGCGGCTCCCCCCGCCCCGCTGCCCCTCCCGGCCCCGGCCCGGTGCCCCCCGCCCTACCATGGTGGCTGCTGCGGTCCGGTGCCGCCAGGCGGAAGTAGCCGGTCACCTCTTCCCCGATGCGCGGCACCTCCCACTGCGGCGGGAAGGGGGTGACTGGTGTCTGCTACCTCCCCCTATCCCCAGCTGAGGGCCCGGGAGAGGGTAGCGAAGCCTCTCCGAGGCACAGAGGTAGAGTGCGGCTGGGATGAGGCCTCGCTGGAGAACGGGAGCGGAAGAGGCGTCCCGCAGCGGGATCCCGCACCGCTTCACCACCCCCTCCTCCGCTGTGCTTGGTACGCTCCAGTCAGGGCTTCCATATTAGGGAAGCGAGATGGAAAGAGGGCCGGGCCAATGAGCGATGGGCACCGGGCGTGGCTGGGCCAATCGGAGAACGCGAGGGGCGGGGCGAGCACCACGGACGGCGGCCGGAAGGGGCGAGCGGCCCTGCAGCCCCTCGCTCCGCTCCGGTATCACCCCCCCCCGGTTCCGCCGCAGCCCCGGTGCCCGCCGCAGCCCCCGGTGCCCGCCGCCATGTCCGAGCTGAAGGACTGCCCGCTGCAGTTCCACGACTTCAAGTCTGTGGACCACGGGAAGGTTTGCCCGCGGTACACGGCCGTGCTGGCCCGCTCCGAGGACGACGGCATCGGCATCGAGGAGCTGGACACGCTGCAGCTGGAGCTGGAGACGCTGCTCTCCTCCGCCAGCCGCCGCCTCCGGGTGCTGGAGGCCGAGACTCAGGTGCCATAGGGATGCTCCTCATCCCGGCCCTCCAGCTGCCTGCATCCCTCCCAGCCCGGAGCCGACCGCGGGTATCCCTCTCTTTCCAGATCCTGACGGATTGGCAGGATAAGAAGGGCGACCGGCGGTTCCTGAAGCTGAGCAAGGAGCACGATGTGGGCACCTCTGTCAAGCACGGGAAGCCCAAAAAGCAGAAGCTGGAGGGCAAAGGGGGGCACGGGACCGGGCCTGGCCCCGGCAGGCCCAAATCAAAGAACCTGCAGCCCAAGATCCAGGAATACGAGTTCCAGGATGATCCCATTGACGTGCCCCGCATTCCCAAAAATGATGCTCCAAACAGGTGGGTGTTGGGGCTGCAGCTCCCGGTGTGAGGGCTGGCTCCAGGGAAGAGGTGCCTGGAGGGAAGGGGTTGTGTGCCAGCTCCCACGGGATGCCCTGGGGCTCTCCATCACAGCTCATCCATCCTGACAGGTTTTGGGCATCGGTGGAGCCGTACTGCGCCGACCTCACCAATGAGGAGGTCAGAGTCCTGGAGGAGCTGCTCAAGCCGCCAGAGGATGAGGCTGAGCATTACAAGGTGAAAACCCCCCAAACCCATTTCCTACCCTCACTTTTCCCTGCTCCTTCCTGCACCTCACAGCCAGTGCTCCTGCCTGGAATGATGC